GATTAACTTCAAACTTCACAACAAGGTTAATTACCATGAAACCTCGGACAAGTTCGATAACCGCCATTATCCGACCATAATTTGTGGAGTTATGCCCCTTTATGGACTTGCCGAAACAGTGTCCGCTCGATACCTCGAGTAATTATTAATGGATTAACTTCAAACCATACAAAAATCATACAAACAACTGCTCATTCAATGTGTGACGGGCGTATTATATACCGCTCGCGGTAACCTTGTCTCAAATCTATCAATATATTCTGACCTGAAATACTGCAAAATGCAATATCTTCGAATCATTACATATTTTTAGGTAGAGTGGCATATATATGATAGAACAATGCTAAAAAAGGTTATCTTTCATCTGATAGTTTTATATGTCATAATTTGTACCATATATACAGGTTCTTTGTATGCTTTCAATACTTGTGTTGTCAATAGAAACAAAATTTCAACATTTTATATAGTGTTACATTATTAAACTATAATCTTGGATATTTCAATAGTGACACCTTTTTTATTTCTTTTTATTCAGCCTCAGTTTCCATTTTCATCTTTGCCATCATATCCTGGATTCCCTCCTGGCGGATTTCATCATCCAGCTGTGAGTCACTTGAATACTATACAAACAATCTCTTTCACTTAAACCATGGCACTGTAACATTGGCTTGAAAAATCAAAATACACTGTCAACATGAATTTGGATTTAAGAGGTCTATGTCATCTGATATGAAGTTTTCATGTGTTGGGTTTTAGCTGCTTTAGCCTGTCTGTCTGTGTCCTGGTTATACTTACAATACATACCTGGTCATGACAGGTGATCACTGGCAAACTGCATCACAAAACAAAACAAATATCCTATGGCTACAATAATCCCCATATATTCACTGGTAAAAACTCTGTTACTTGCCCGAAGTCAAATACAAATAAACAATATTAAAAGACCCTGTCATAACTATACACTTTGATATTCACTGGTAACACTCTGTTACTTGCCCAAAGTCAAATACAAATAAACAATATTAAAAGACCCTGTCATAACTATACACTTTGAAGCAGACATTGTTAAGTAATTGTTTTTGTGGTGTATGTGCAGGGTTTGCCGACGGTTCCCCCACCTCCCCCGCCCCTCGGGGACGACCTATTGGAGGGTGACAATGAGGCCCTATGTAGTATGCTGATGTCCTGGTACATGAGTGGATATCATACCGGATACTACCAGGTAAACAACATGATAATGATGGAAATTATTGATTCATTTTTGTTTGTAGGTATTCTTGGAAGTCATATACTTCAAGAAATTCTTTCTTCTTTCACTTTGTCTTAATTTTCTGTCCCTTCATAAGGAATGCAGGCATATGATCTTTCACATTGTTATTGTCATACTGTGACTCAGTTACTGTTTAAGTCACACTCCTCTTCAACAGAGCAAATGGATGCAAAATTTCATGTCCTTATTTGTTGACATATCAATGAATATTTAATTTCAAACCTCGTTTTACACTAAAGCATGCAACATCAGATTTTCTTCATAGATCTATTAATAAACGTATGACAAGCAAAGGCTGGAATAGGTATATACATTATATACCAATTATCTATTTGTTTGAATTTTACTTCATGAGTTAGATATGTGAACACTATAGTAGAGTTTTTAATGATAATGACATAAACTAAGGATTAAGAGACCAAGTACATATTAATTGATTTCAATCATAAGAAGGCATGTTGTATTTTTTTCTCAGGGTTTACGCCATGCTCGTCAGTCAGGAGTCTCAGCTACCTCGCAGTCAGAATCTGGAAGATAACACCCTCTCATTGGATTGGTTGTCTGTGGAACGGGTTGTGTAAATGTTAGCCTTTTGTAATGAATGAAATTGTCGACATGGCTGATATCAACATAAGTGTACCCTGGGTATCTACTCCTGAGCCTACGATTGAAATACTCTGGAAGCACAGAGCACTGGCATTCTCATCCTAGAACCTAGGTCAGCTTCATCCAACAAGGGAGTGTGAGCTATCAGTCTTGGTACCAACAGGAATAATAAGAATGCACTTAATGTACTTAATGTAATAAGTTTCGGAAGCAAGAATGTTGTGGTGCGTTACAGGTACATTTCAATGATCGTGTATCAATGTGATAACTGGACATCAAACTTAATGGCAGGATCAGATGTTCAAAGCATGTGATGGATCTATAGGGAGAGGAATTCATATTCCTCCCCCTCCAGTTTGCATTTTCATCAGAAAAGCTATTTAATAGTTATAAAATAAAAATATGTTTCAGGAGATGACAGTGGTATCAATAGAATTTTTTCAACTTACATCATATTCCCTCTTCATGAAATCATGGATCTGTTCCTGATTGTTTTGAGTAAAGAAACTGGACAAGATTACATTGCTGGTGCTGTCTTCTTATAGAGTGAATATCTATCAGTCTTAACTGCTATTTCAAGTTGTGAATGCTAGGTGAAATCAATGTGGATTATACTAAGCAAGAGTAATTTACTGGACCTAGTGTTTTAGCATGCACATGTTCAGAAATACACAGGAATATTTGAGTGCCTGGTATTAAAAATTGTCTGCTGAGAATGTATGAATGTGAGGAGCTTATAATGCAATAAATGTGTCGGAGAAAATGGTGATATGGTGCTTTCTGTGCAAAACTTGTTTTAGATATGTTCATAGAGTTTTATATGTTACTGTGTGCTGGTTGGACACCTCGTTGTACAATGGAATGGTGATCCATGACAAGATTAAGCAATTAGATTGACATGATCTATAATTGAATAGAACTTAAATTTGTGTGCATTCAGAATTAAATTTTTGAACTTTTTGAAAAAAAACTAGCTTGCAAAAGTTGTTCAAACTTGTAACTGTGAATTGGAAGTTGCACATTGTTATTGAATAACGAGCTAGGTTTAATTTTGTTGTATACAAGCACAGAGTCTACACTGTTAGCTAAATTGGAATGATTTAAAATTGTATCTTGATTCTGGAAGGGAAAAGTAAACAGTCGTCAGTATATCACATCATTTATTTGTAAAGTAAGTCTATACAGAAATTGTAATCCAATTTGATTAAAAAATATTATCATTGATCAAGGTGTGTGAATGTTGTTTCATAGAGATACCAACTTTAATGCACTAATTGTGTATAATAATCCTAGGTCAAGTCAGCTTGCACCATGGTGCATTGTCTGTCAAATTTTCATTTCAATGACTAGTCCTGAACAGGATTTGATATGCCTTTCAAGGAAACCTAAAGAAAGATAGTTACAATCTGGGGGAGTGATCAAAGTTAATGTTGGAGACTTTCGGACAGCCAGTCAGAATATGGGGGTAATATTGGTGTGTGTGATCCAAATTAATGTTGACGACCTTTAGATAGTAACAGTTTTAGGGTGTATTATCCGACTTTAGTTGGGAGACTTTCAGTTACTGGGATAACCAGTCGCATTATTCGGATGTGTTAATGTAGAAGCTCCATTTCTTTTTCTCATAGAACAACAAACACACAGTCAGTATTTTCAGTTTGTTTCCATGTATATGTGAAACAGTTATTATTACATTTTTACCAGTGAGATATTGAATTCTATCAACTTGATAAAACTGATCTTTCACATTCTTTGACCGATATTAAAAGTAATATTGGTCACTGAAGATATGAATTTTGAAATTGACCAATCAAAATGGTTCTTCCTATTCACTGCATCCAAAGCTGCAGATTTTCTGGTCAGATGCAAATGAAGCTGCTGTTGAAGCAACGGTAGAATAAGTGGTTGTTTTGGAACATCTTTGCTATATGTACCAAGTTATTTAATAACACAGTACCCAATAACTTTTTAAGCAATAATTGTCATTTACATATATGGCTTCAAGGACTTCATCACCATTCAATCCCAAACTGTTTTAATGCAGACAAAAAATTGTCCTTTTTTAGTAGGATGAGGAATAGTGATAAAGATAGTTCCCTCCTTCTTTCAATCATCAGCCAGGTTCTTTGACTCCCCGCCAAGGGTTCTCCTACCTTGAACGAGGAGGGTCAACGGCACCAATTTGTAATAGCACGAGGAATAGTGATAAAGATAGTGCCTCTGGGCCTCGACCCGCGACCCTCGACTCTCCAGCCCGATGCTCTACCGATAAGCTAAATGAAAATTCCCGACAGCTGACACCTGTAAGGCAACCTAATCAATGCACATCTTTTACATTTGTAGGAAATATAAGAGTGTACTAAAAAGAATTGAATGGTATTTAATGGCAAAACTTAAATATTTTCTATATCACTTTTGACGACATCATGTGAGCATTCTTTTTTTATCTTGTTGATTTGAAATAGACATTAGAGCTCAAGGCCTTATCTTCAATAAATCAAATTGATTGGAAAATGTTCTTCACGGGAATCTATTTTCCAGGCATCAAAACTTAAAACACTTGGACAAAAGACATCAAAAAATACTTATAGAGTAAATAACAATTTATTGGAAAATCTTGATAACAAGAAATAGATATAAGGTCTTCTGTTTACAAGTATATATATACTGTGAATATTGTATATAATTAGTAATATACAGTGAATGTATATAATGTATATAATTAGTAAATAGTGATACTGTATATTATTTTATCTATCTGATGTAAAATTTCTGCCAAGAAGACTAGCATTTACAGGTTTTTTTCCCTATAATATAAAAATATAAGATTCAGTTCAGATGACACTTTTTAAAGTTTGTTTTGACACTAAAATACATATCTTTCTCACATATAAGCAATGTTCGGGGTAAAACCTGAAATCACAACACATGATAAAAATGCACAATCAAGTGGTTTCCTTTGTACCATCAGGAAAATGTAATTGTAGCAACAATTCTGAACATCAGTGTATTCAAAATTATTATCACCAAAACTCATGATGCTGCATCACTGGAACATCTGGAATCTCATTAACTTGCATGGAAACATGTTTTGCAAGAAAAGAAAGTGTTCAAATACATTTGGAAGAGTACATTTAAGATTTTCAGGTCCTGGCTTACTTTTAACACTTTGATTGTTGACAGATGGAATAGGAATGGGAGGATTTAATGCCCAAAGTGAAATTTTCAGAGTTCTGGATTTTGACAATTTTACTGTAAAGTGAGTGTTATTGACATTTCCATACCTCTGTAACAAGTAGTTGATACATACATCCAACTCAAGTCAAAGATTTACTTGTACCTTCAACCAAGGACAAGTCTTACACTCATTACATCAAGACTGTGAGATAAATCAAGACAAAAATGTTCGATGTAAAAAGATTATAGTAGACATTTACAATACAAAATCATCTGTATCATTTCATATATACACAAAATCTCTAAAAAGGATAATGGCAGTTACTTTTTATCACATTTAGAAATCTTGCATACTTTCTCAAGTACATGGATTATCAAGAGGTAAATTTACTACAAATCACTACATACAAATTAGATACTGTAAAAAATCTTTGGTACATAATGTATATATAATATAAATAGGTATGTCACATCCATTTTAAGGCACAAATATAAGAAATGTTGACTAAACAACGTTAACATTTCTCAATGAAGATATTTTTAGTTTATGAATTCAAATCATAATTTTTTTTTACCATGTACCCTCTAGTCAGCAATTGACATCTTATAGTTTGATTTTCATGTAGTTTCATACAATTATCTTGAAGATATAAGGTTCTCTGGATTAATAAAACAATATAATATAAAATTATATATCTTTCATTACCAGCTTATTATTTATAACACAAATATTCCCAACTTTGGTTTTGTTATGGAGTACATAGGCAAAAATAATGTAATTGGTCGAAATTTGTTAGCGCTGGGAACACAAGAAAGTAAATAACTGATTAGAAAACATACTTCAGCAATTAAATGCATGTGTATAATATTGCACAATGATTTTGTTTACAGTAAAAATTGTATGAGCATATGCAACAAATTGGTCCACCTGTTTAAATATTTCAACTTCCAGACAAAGTTAATGTAGTCTTTTGTCATCACCAATACATGTCTTTATGTGACCGTAACTGTTAATAGGCTGTAAAGGACAAGCAAAGCTAACCAAGCCAATACTTATAACCTTTTTTCCATGCTGAAATGCTTTATATTTACTTGCAGTGAAATTCTTGTTTAATAACAAGTATGTATATATACCAGTTGCAAAGGAAGCTTATAATGAACAATGCTATTACACTATGATTAGAACTACATTATTTTCAAATTGCCTGATAATCATTTTAATGTTTCCCATATGTATTTCATGACAATTGGTCACTCTTTCATCTAAATGATGTTATTTTTCAAAATTTTCTTCAGTTTTACTCTCATTTTCATGAGCCATATCCATTACTAACTATAGGTTATTAGCATGTTTTACCATATAACAGTTCTGGCATTTCAGAGATCAATACTTATCTGCATGCACAGCAATAAGTTCATTCATGTTTTTTTGGCACAATCTGAAAGTAATGTGTAACTACCGGGGTATATTTATCTTGATTCAGGGATACCTAATTTTCTATCAGATCTCCATACTTGCCAACCCTCCCTATTTAGGAGGGAGACTCCCCGTTTCGGACCCTTAAATTTAGTATTATCAACCAGTGAATTTGATACACTATTCTTAAATTCCAAGCTCTAATGATTTTAACTGAAAGAATAGCTCAAAATATGTCATTTCAAAGGGTTCCTTTGTCTCTAGCGGGTATATATTACACATATTTCATTTATGTTTTAATTTTGAGCATGCAGAATCTTTCCATGGAAATTCTGTGAACCATTTTAATATGCTGTTATTTGATTTTGGACTAGTGAAAGTCGGCTAATACACCTACATGTACAGTACTACATTAGTGAAGTCTCGCTTCTAGTCAAATACTGGCTAATCAAACAGTAACATGTATCCATGGAGTCTAAAATGATTCTTTGGAAGACTAATAGGGTCAACCATGGTAAGGCAATGTGGGGAGGGGGGGAATGAAAGCTCTACCTGGGGGTGTAGAATTGGGTGTCGGAATTGAGGCCCAGTCCATGGGTAGAATTTCCACATCTCCCAAATGTACATACTCACTCTTTTTCTCTCAACACTTACCTAACATTGTGAATGTATTATTTAATGTGGTAGACAGCATACAAATTAATCAAGAACATGTTTGGAAATACAGAAAAAAAGTCGGGTTTGTTCAATGTATTCCGTCTTTGCGTATTGCACAGTTATCTTCTCCTGTAAGCAGGTATTGATTGTAACGTCATTGGTTTGTGTGAGAAAATTACGTCATTTTCTCAAAAATTGATGACGTTACTCTCACAATCAAATGACGTAATAATCAATACCTGCTCACAAAAGAAGATAACTCTGCAATACGCAAAATATAGAAAATAGGGATTTCTGATTTCTAGTGGTAATATTTTCTTCTAATCAAGCAGTTTTAACTCAAAATGAAACATACCGTACGCAACACTAGAGAACAGAATTAACCTACTGATGAAATTTGAGAAAGATCTGTATTTAAATTTACTTTCTGAGAAATATTGATTAACAATCTTCAACTGTCGAACAAAAGGTGTCTGCCTGGTGACCATGTTTCAAATGTCATCATGAGTACTGCATGTTTCAGTATGTATGGGGGCGTCAAATCTTAATAGAGGCACTTGGGAAAATATCATATAGGTCAGACAAGAAACATAAACATTTTCTTTCTCTATAGATATACATGTACATACTTATAAAATATTCCTGGAATAGTATCTTAACAGGAGAATAAAGACCACTGCCTGTCTGAGTATGATTGGGAGAAATCAATATGGTCAGTCGATCTTCTTAGATTTTCCTCCATAAATGAAAATCAGGAAAATTTTCCAAATACTAGCAGCAATACCAATCACATTTGGTGCCTAAAATTAAGAAAGATTTAATAGTAACTCTTCATGTTTAGTCAAACAAGAGGCTCTTAGGCCTTAATGGTGAGTGGCCAACATCAACAATATATATAAAGTTCCTACCTGTTAGAAAGCAGTCAAAGCCTATTTAAGTCTTCTTCAGGGTAGTGGTAATTATAAAATGTTACATATTATGGAATATGGAAGAACAAAAAAACCTTTAAGCCTTATCATATGTGTACTTGAGAAAAAGTTGTTATTTCAGTTTTATGTTTTTCATTTCTGTGACCATGACTAAAAGAAGCCATTTGCAGTTATTTTAGATTTTCATTTGAATAAATTTGATAGCTCTTAACCTTAGCACACAACAGGCAAATATTATGACCTTATGCCTTTTGGTTATTCAGAAGATGTTTAATTTTTTGAACACAACTTTTCACTGTGACCTTGAAATGGGTCAAGGTAATTTATTTGAAGAAATTTGATAGCCTTACATCCCGGCACACTACAGGTCAAATATCATGACATTAGGCCTCTGGGTTATTCAGAAAAAAAAGAAATTAACAGGTGAGTTAAAAATATTCACTAGTGTACTAATCGAAGTTGCATCTTAAATAAACAAGAGGCCCATAGGGCCTGTATCGCTCACCTGGATATCAAATGTAATCATTGCAAAATATTCTCCAAATAAGATCCAAGGGAATGGGCAAGACCAAAAGGCCAATCCTTGTATCATATCTGAATAAGATTTTTCATTCCCAGCAATTTTATGTATTGTTATGGGGTGGGGATCTCAACTGTTCCAAGGTGTGATTCAGAAACTAGGTCCCTAGGGTTGTGCCCAGACCCCAGGATCAATTATAATATCATGACTGCATTTGTCTCTTTATGCCAAGCATTTGTATATACAGTTTTGAGGTGATGATCTCAACTGTTTCAAAGTTATGACCCAGGGGTTAAGTCTGCGAGGGAGGGGCAGACCCTGGGGTCAATTCTTATATCATGACTGCATTTGTCTTTTTATGCCCAGCATTTGTATATACAGTTTTGGGGTGGGGAGTTATGACCTAGGGACTATGTCTCCAAGGGTGGGGCCAGACCCCTGAGCAATCCTGGAAACATATGTGCATTTTTCTCTTCATACTCAGCAATTGTATATATGGTTATAGGGTGGGGATCTAAACCATTTCCAAGCAATAACATATTTTTGGGCCCACCCTTTAGCCAAGGGGGTCAGCCCCACTACTTGTACAATTTAAATCCCTGCCTTCCATGAATGCTTCCAATCAAATATGATTGGTATCCAGTGCATAGCTCTACAGAAGAAACAATTTATAGCAATATAGCCAAATTGCCCACCTTTAGCCACACCCCTCAGCCCCCTCGGGGGTTAGCCCCACCATTTGTACAATTTAAATCCCTGCCTTCCATGAATGCTTCCAACCAAATATGATTGATATCCAGTGCATAGCTCTACAGAAGAAACAATTTATAGCAATATAGCCAAATTGCCCCCCTTTGGCCACGCCCCTCAGCCCCACCATTTGTACAATTTGAATCCTGACTACCTAGGGATGCCTCGAGTCAAATATGGTTGATATCAATCTTTTAGTTCCAGAGGAGAAATCGCTTAATGCAATGAAGCCAAATTGACCCCTTTTTGCCCCTGGGGAGTCAGCCCCACCATTTGTACAATTTTTAATCCCTGCCTCTCATGAATGCTTCTGACCAAATATGATTGATATCCCGTGCATAGTTCTACAGAAGAAATCATTATAGCAATTTAGCCAAATTGCCCACTTTTGGCCCGGCCCCTCCGCCCCCTGGGGGTCAGCCCCACCATTTGTACAATTTTGAATCCCCGCCTCCCATGAATGCTTCTGACCAAATATGATTGATATCCATTGCACAGTTCTACAGAAGAAGTCGTTTATAGCAATTTAGCCAAATTGTCCCTTTCTGGCCTCGCCCCTAGGGTGTTAACCCTACCATTTGTACAATTTTGAAACCCTACCACCTAGGGATGCTTCCAGTCAAATTAAGTTAAAATGCCAATCAGTGGCTAAGAAGAAGTTGTTTGAAGAAATTGTTGACGTACAGACGACGGACGGACGTATGGCATAAGCTCACCTTGGTCCTTCGGGGGAACAGCTGAGCTGAAAAGAGAGGCTCATGGGCCTTGAATCACTCACCAGACAATTATAGAAATGTATTTGAGATTTTCCCAGTATTCAGAAGGTAAGCCTCCAGAAATGTTAGCCACTCTGAATAACATTTGATCCCCATTGGCTTATGATGCTTCAGTTAAAACCTGCTAAGTGGTTTTGGAATAATTGGTCATTTAAAGCGATCTTTCAACTAGAACCCTTTTGGCCCCACCCCTTAGCTCCCAAGAGGATCAGCTGCCTTATTTGTATAACTTTAGATCCCATATGCTACCCATACAACTTTGTTGAGATCTGTCCAGTAGTTTGGGGGGGAAATGTCTTTTAAAGAAGATCAGCCAATTTGTCCTCTTTTACCAGGCTTCCAGCACACAGGAGGATCAGTCCATTAAATTGTATACATTTTCATCCCCATAGACTACGTTATTTTTCAAATTTGGTTAAAATGTGTCCAGTAGTTTGAGAGATGTCATCTAAAGCAAATCAGCCAATCTGACCCCCTCTTAACTCATGCCTCAGCCCCAAAAAAGTTAAAACCTTCCGTACTTTTGGAAATGTGATTTTAAAGCAAATCAGCAAATTTAACCTGCCCCAGGAACTTTCTATCCCCATGGCCTAAAGATGATTTCACCAAAAATTGTTTGAAATCTTCTAAATATTTTCTGAGGATACGGTATGTCATTTAACTCATTCACCCCTGAAATTTCATAATGAACTATTCCAACCTTTAAATTGGGATAGTTCAAAGGTGTCTTCAGGGGTGAATGAGTTAATGCAGAAGTTGATGGACAACAGGCAATGGACGGACAAAGAACCACCAGATATACTAACCCAGGTGCTTCATACCAGGTTACATCATTATAAAAATTGATTTATTTTTTGCTTACCTGGTAGAAATAATCTTAGACCTGAACTTACATAGATGTAGAAGTCCTCAAGCATGAATCCATAGATGAGCCAGCACAGACAACAGGACAGACCAACATACAGCATGGATCTTGACAGACCATCCACACTCTTCTCCTGTACACACTGGATCTAGGGGGAAGTTCACATACTCAGTAAGTCCAGATTTTTTGGGAGAGTTCACATGACAAGGAGAGATAGTATCTGCTGAACTTAGCTCATGAGAACTTGAACTAAGAAAATGTTCTTCTTTAAACAGCCATTTCAGGGGTATGAGGTCAAATTGAATAAGAATGTTATAATAAGGGTGACAAATATTTATGTTACTGCAATGTTCTGAGCACTTCTACAAGTACAGAAAACCATGACTCTGCAGGAGGCCCCATATCAATTTAGCAGTCTATTATGATCATGCAGTCAGATACAGCTGGGCAATTCCCCTTCCTCAAAACCTGAATGACAGTTAATTTCAGTAAAATATACAAGTTTTATAATCATGTTCATCGTTACAACATATAAAGCTACTTTTTCAAATTTTTGAAAACCATGGACTGGTTAATTAGTTAATATCAAACTTGACTTAAGATAAATTTTGGTTGAAGGCTGAAACATAACCTCTAAACCGAGCCTCATCTCCTCCAACTTTCTCTCCCACATCATAGGGTACAAAAAATCAATATTAAAACTTATTCACCACTGAAGACACATTTCAACTTTTCAAATTCAAAGGTTGGAATAGTTCATTATGAAATTTCAGGGGTGAAAGAGTAAATTGTATAAACTTGATTTAATTTTCAGTTTTAACATCAAAATCCTCCATCTACCTATTTATCTGGCATTCACTTACTACTTCAAGGAAGGTAGACAGCATCAAGCAGACTGTCACAAAGAACATGAAGGCTCCAAGTTGATCAAGTACGACTGGTTCGCTGTTTCCTTGGGAGGTTATGTACTTGTAGTATAGCACCAGTGGACTGCACAGTGATACCAGCTGGGCTATAGTACTACCCTGAAGAAAAAATCAGTCACTATAAGTCATTATAGCTGCAGATAGTATGGGGTAACTTTACAGGATAACAAATTAATTGGCATTACAATGACAAGAGGCTCATGGGCCTTAACAGTCACCTGAGTTAAATAAAAAATTGTTGCTTGTTGTGGTATTGTGATATGACAAAAAATAAAAGTACATATACCCCGGTAACCAAATATGTCCTTTTGGCTATGGATTGGCTTTTACCAAAATAAAAGTGACCCTAGAAGGGTCTTGGCACCAACCACCAAAGGAACTTGGCACCAACCACTAAAGGATCTTGGCACCAACCACTAAAGGATCTTGGCAGCAACCTCTAAAGGATCTTGGCACCAACCACTAAAGGATATTGGCACCAACCACTAAAGAATCTTTATCAGATCTACAAAAGCTGGTCTTTTACCTTCTTTCTCTTAATTTTCCTTATATGTACTAATGCTAATAGAAAAGTCCCATAATGGAAATCCTAAAAATCAACTAAAACCTTGTAATGTTATGTTATTTGCAACTATGACAAATGTTATTGTATAAGAACTGCATAACTATATGCTATGAATTTATCATTCTTACATAATAAGAAGTGCTGCCAATGGAGGATGAATGCTCATTAGGGACAGGTATATTCTAACAAGGGGAACAAACATAAAACAGTGATAACAAAATTGAACTGCCAAACTTTAAGATGGCTGTCTGGTTGCCATCCTGTTTTTTCAATTGGCCCCAAAAATCAATATGCATATATAGGGACCAATGGGAACCTTCATGTGAAACTTGAGAAAGATTCATCCAGCACTTTCTAGGAAATAGCACTTACTGTCTTAACTTGCTTTAGAAGGGTGATGGTAGGCTAAGACTGACAGGTCACGACCAACAATTCAGTAAAATGATAAAATAATATCATTCAGTAATATAGTAAATATTTTGACCCCTTAAAGGGATTTAGTTAACTGCAATCATATGATAAGAATTTCAACCAAATTTGAATTGTTTCTCGTTGATAAGGAGCAAAGTATATTTTTGTATGGTGATGATAGAGACCTATGGTTCACCCTTGAGAATATTTTGTTTTGATAGCATTTACCCTAGTGAATTTTGGTAAGGAATACAAAACTTACCTTTGACTGACAGACAGCTAGGTACGTCAGCACATAGATACAATTGAGGGTCAAACCGACAGCGTTTACATAGATCAATGGTGGCAGATTTGATAAGTAACCATACAGCAGACCTGTAAATCCACTGAAAACGGACAAGAAACAAATGACAGTATTTTATGTCTATTACCAGGTACATCGTGCAACATTATTGAATATCAACTGATTCACTCTACCAAATGGAAATATCGATAGAGAAGACCAATATTAAATCAAATTCATTAGGTGGGGTGTGGGTGTATATGTGTCGTTGTTATTGTTGGTGGTGGTGGGAGGTCAATGTTAAATTGTGTATGTAAATATTGTATGCTGCACATTGTATTACTGTACAAGTGCATATTGAAGCAACTTAGGCAAAAAACAAAAATTAGTGTGTTTCCGGTTTCCCTACCGACCCTTGATTTTTGTGTCTACAAAATAAACAAGAGGCCCATGGGCCTTAACGGTCACCCGAGTTCTGATATATTTATACAGAGAGTGGATTTTTGTTTTTAAAACATGAACAGAAGTATTATTCAAAGTGACAAAAAACAATAAAACAACCTTATTCAATATCTAGCATACAGATTTAAGAATGAAAAGTATTTGAAACTTGCACCTCTGATTCTAAACAAGGAAGATGAAGAAATTTTAGCACACTGACTCCTTTGGGTGCCCTTGGGGGGTAAAGCTGGCTCAAAATGTTCAAAGTATCAAACTGTCAACTCAGGGTTATAATTCCAATCAAGTTATCAACATGTAATATTCAAAGTATCATTTGCCATAATAAATTTTGCCCCCCACCCCCCTCCCCAGGGGTAAACGTGGGACCCAAGGGTCATAAAATTCACAATTTTGGTAGAACACCTTAAAACCCTTCCATCTATGAAGAGTATTTGATTCTACCATATCTGGGTCTTGAGAAGATTTCGAAATTTCAGTCAATTCGACCCTTTTTGGCCCTACCCATCAGCCCCTGGGGGTCAGTCAGGGCTGATATGTGCATACCATCAAACTGCTATCAAATACTGATAATGCTAACCCAAATTGAATTACTACCGATGGAAATTAAACAAATGTTAGTCCAAAATGTGATTTCCCTATATAAACTATAGTAAAGTTTACCCCCTCCCCAGGGGGAAATGTGAGACCCCTGGGTCATGAAATTTACAATTTTGGTTAAGCACCTTAAGACCCTTAAGCTTCCATCTATGAAGAGTATTTGATTCTACCATATCTGGGTTTCTACCATATCTGGGTTTTGAGAAGAAGATTTTTGAAATTCAGTCGATTTTACCATTTTTGGCCCCACCCATCAGCCCCTGGGGGTCAGTCAGGGCTGATATGTGCATACAATCAAACTTCTATCCAATACTGATAATGCTAACCCAAATTGAATTACTTCCAATGGAAATTAAACAAATGATGGTCCAAAATGTGATTTCCCTATATAAACTACAGTAAAGTTTACCCCCTCCGCAGGGGGAAACGTGAGACCCCAGGGTCAAGAAATTCACAATTTTGGTAAAGCACCTTAAGACCCTTCCATCTATGAAGAGTATTTGATTCTACCATATATGGGTCTTGAGAAGAAGATTTTTGAAATTTTAGCAATTTGACCCTTTTTGGCCCCACCCCTCAGGCCCCTGGGGGCTGGGGACTATATCCTCCACTATTTTTGTTGACCTTTGGCCATAGAATGTTTCTGCAAAATTTCATTGAAATTGGTTCAGGGGTTTTGGAGAAGAATTTCGAAAATGTAAATTGTTTACGGACGCACGACGGACGACGATGGACGACGACGGACAGAAGGTGATCGCAATATAGGTCACTTGAGACTGTAATGTAATCGACCTAAAAATTGCCTACCTACTGAACCTTATTTTTTCGAGCTAAAATAACATATTTTTTTCTGGCCTCGTTCTATTTTTCAATGACATGTTAAAAGTGATTAATATATTTTTTTGGACAGCTATGTGCATCGAAATAAAAAAAATTGCAGAGGGATACTTTATTACAGCAATAATGATTTCTGTACCACATTTTGTTATTTGAGTAATACCATAGTAAATCACCAAGTATTAACAGCTACAAACTGATCCCTGCATTCATATCTGATTTTATACTTAAAATTTTAGTTCCATCAGCACAAAAATATAACAGCTGTGCAAAATAAAAACATCTTAATGTATTCAATTATTCACAATACATGTACTGGTATGTAACAGATGTCATTTATTGGCTTCATTTGTAAAATGGTTTTAGTTACTGTTCATCATCTAATACACTTTTATCAGTGTTGTACATTTGCTTATGCATATATGATGGATTGTGTCAGTCAATTGAATATAAAGCACACAAATTAAAGTAGTTTTCTAGAACAAGAGGGCCTGTATCCGTTACCTGGATATTTAAGCAAACATGGCAAGATATTCTCATTTATCACATAACTGCAGTTATTTCCAGATTTTGGCTTTGTCTTTCAGAAACACCCTTCCTTTAAAAAATATTTAACTCCATATTCTGATTCAAGGACTAAGTCTCTAGGGGCAGGGATCGACCCAAGCGCCAATCATTGTAGCATGATTGCATTTGTCTTTTGTTAAAGGGTGGGGACCTCAACTTTTTCAAGATAAGGGCTAAGAAGAGAGTTAGCAAGTCTGCTTCATACTCAGGAGAAAGCATCGATTCTTCGCCCGAGAGAATGCCCTGTTAGGGATTTTTGAGCCCCCACAGCATAGTTTTCTGAGTCATTGAAGGAGATTGTTGTGTATTCCCAAATTTTGAAGTTGCAAAAAAAATTCACTGTATCACTCTGGATAGCTAAAAAATAATCATGGCAAAATGTTCTCATTAACAATTATATTACAATATTTTCTAATTAAGGACTGATGGCTGTTAAAGCTAAGGACGAGAAGGGGGAACAACTTTCTTTTATATAACAAAAATATTCCAAGGCCTCAAGGACGAAGTCCCTAGGGCAGGGGTTTGAAATCCATTAGCCGGACTCCCTGGGCTACTAGGATTCTATAGTTTGGCTAGTTACAAGCACACTAGCCCCATCCTCAAAATTCAAGGAATAAAACTACCGTATGCTTTCTTATCGAAGGCAATGATCTGTTATCGAGGGTCACTTAATGATGATATGAGATGTGATTAATGTGTGGGTGATCAGAAGATTTATAATTTAAACAATCTTCCTTATACTGTATCATATTTTAGAGTAAATTAAATGTTGGATTTGAATAAATAATGTCATTATACATATATCATACATCATTGAGGATAAATTCATTTTTCATTCAGCAAGTAGTTAAGTACATGTACATTGTTAATGTAGTATCTAGATGACTGTATATATTACCAACTTACTTAACTACTCCAAGGGCAAAAAAAGTGAAAGGCACATTCTTGGTACTTTTGGTTCTGTACATATGTAAGCACGGTGGTCTGAAAAACACATTTATATAAATTAGACTAAAACAACACATTGCAATTATGATCAATTCCTTAAAATGTGGTTAAAGATTATACATCCAACACTAACAAGTACAATTCATCCTCTGATAACTTATCATAAGTAACATAACTAATTTGAACATAAAAAAAACAAATAATTGATGGCTTCTTGTACTGGTGACTGTTGGTGAACAGTGAAATCATGTCGTGGGAGTTGAAAGTCTCCTGTTCTTCAATAATGACATTTTCTAAGTCAGATGCTAAATGTTTGGAATTCTTGACATGATTCTTGATATGCTATAACAGGAGATGGGGGTAGATCTACACCCTTCCATGTAACCTATTTGATACAGTATGTATACATACGCTAAATATATATGCTGAATAATAATGTTTACCATGACCAAAGCACCCTAAATTACAGACTTTTTCAAAGTATTTTCATACTTGACCAATAAACTATTCATATGAAACTAGGAACTGAATAGCATTTATGATCCCTCAGACCCCCACCGATGGGAAGGCGGAAGTCCCCCTCCCATACCATCCTCCTCCTCGCGCTACGCGATTCGGGTGTTGAATTCGTCAGCACATTTGATCATTAGGCTTACACATTGAAATCCTGTTTGTTACGCCCCTGATGATGAAGTAGGTCAATTATCATCAGGTAGAAGTAGGTCAATTATCAGGTAGAAGTAGGTCAATTATCAGGTAGAAGTAGAATTAGACCTACTACTGTATCACTTAACCTCCACAGAGACAATCATGGCTTTAGTTGCAGGGGTTGAGTAGTCGGAGTTGGTAGGGATTGAGAAAGTTCGGATTATACAGGTTTCACTTTACAGTAGTTACTCACATTCCACTAGCAAACATAAGATATGTAACAATCTGAGTAACAACTTCTACGATGGTCAGGACCTCCATGTTCCCACGTGGCGACAGCACAGCCTTATCTCATCAACTGGTGGCACTGCTATGAAAAGGGCTATGAAAACTTGTTTCACTATCGATACTAGATACTGTAGGCCGAGGCTATCACATGTCAGATAAGGTTGAACCGGTAGGAATACTGTAATACTCAATAGTTGTCAACATATCGTGCCGTTCAAAACACGTGTTATTTAACACATTTGAGTTACATGTGCTATTTAGGTTTGCTTTGACATCAGCTATTTTTTCGTCTGCTTATTAGCAAAACCCCAAAATACGGAATACGTTGCCGCTTATGAACCACAAATCCGATTTTTTTTTCAACGCTTACTGCGACAGGTGAACTTCCGGTAAGAATTTGCATCGGTAAGAAATCCTATACGGCTACGTATAAATCATGTCGCTCGTTGCATATGCTTCGAGCGGCGACGAAAGTGACGAAAGCGAAGAAGCACCTGTTATGCCCACTGCAGACGTAGTAATAAATAAGGAACCACGCGCAACGCCTGCTGACGAAGAAGAGAGTCACGAACATCAGAAACCTGCTTCTGCAACTAGCGTCTCTGAGGCCGGGCATTTTTCGGACTCGGATTCCGAAGGGGAGCAAGAAACTGACCATGACACCACCATCAATAATACACAGGAGCCTAACATAGGTTCATTATTGAAAGGTATTGCTTGTATACAGCAATTAATCTACCTTTGATTTTGATCGGTCATTTTCCACTGACGAACCAGTACATTTAGTATTTTCTAAGATTTCTTATAAAAAGACCTCATATTATGTGTTCTTAAGAAGCAACCTCAATTTCGTACTCATACCAGTAGAAAATTACCGAGGACTTTGATTGATCTATCTATATGTTATACTGCACACTACTGCAGAGGGTTTTAGATACCCCCAAAAATGTAACATTTTATCCATCTCGAAAAATAAACATTCAGTTAAATATAACTATTTTCTTCATGGTCATTGTCTAGAGCATACTCATGATAAAGCAAAATATTTGGGTGAAACATTGAAAAAAGATCTGCAATGGGATTCTCACATTGCTAAAATAACTAATAAAGCTAACAAGACCCTTGGGTAACAAACATTTTTATTCTAAAACCATAAAAGGTACAAGCTAGCTGTTATAAAATATTTGGACGTGTTCTCAACTGTCCGTTTGTGCCAGATTTCTGTTAAAATAACTTAACTACGTAGTAAAGATGCATCAGATGTATTCATTATGAATGATAAAGATACAATACAAATCAAAGTGAAATTATGTACAATTAAATGGTGTACTTCTGACCGCTGATCAATATAAGTCAAATGCTTGGTAGCATGAAATAATATACAGCAAGTCAAAAGTGATCACCCAAAATATAATGAGCTGGCCTGTAATGTAATCTACATTGCAGAGAGTCTGAGTATCGTTACATAAAATCTTACTAGCTGAACATCATATAAAATAGAAACAATTTATCGTTAACAGCCAAATGATTGAAATGAATAGCTTAACGCTTATATTATTTATGGAAAGTCTATGTAATGAAAGTTTTCCTGTTCACCGAAATCACGGCCGATACAGGTTATCAGACAATTATTTATAATAAATCCTACTTTCGTACATATAATATTTTCCTGTGACAATCTTATTCAAGATCCGACACAAGTTATGACATGAACCGTTATTTAAATAATAAAATGCTAAACGCAACTTCTAAGGTTATTTGACAGACTGTTCACATTACGTGACTAAATCTGTATACAAAGATAGTTATCTGAAATGTATGATAAAACTAAACTAATGTTATTTTCCGTGACAATATCCAATTCAGGACCATTGTAACAGTTATAGGAAAAATACACCAACAAAATCTAACTGTTAAAAAGCATACCTTCTAACTCGAGTTGTCTTGCCTGACCCAGTCTCAGACTCAGCTCCAACTGACATATTCAAAATATGCATCGCCTTTTATAGTGACATTCGCTGCACCACCATATAATATCGCAACGTTCATACAGGCAACACAAAAGAACAATATTTACGCAATATAATCCCTGAAATATTACTATAATTTTACAATATATTATATAATTTCCATCAATATAAATAGGCTAAAATATAGTACGAACGAACCGGAAGTGACCCGCAGTCAAAGTAAACAACTTTAACGGACATGTTTGCGAGGGAAAATGCACAACATGAATTACCGGCATAACGCTTACAAGTCACTAGATGGAAGATATGACTTCTGTCCTAGAATATGGGTATATAACGTGAATACAGATAAGTTTCTAGAATATACAATAGGATAATGAAACGAATATCTATTTCCAATTGTCTAAAGTTACTCAGTGAATACTTTTACAACACAAGCATACAAATCTCTAATGCGTTCGACTTTGGAATATGCTTGTACTGTGTGGGACCAATACCAAAAAAGGTGACATACATAAATTGGACATGGTTCAGTGTAGGGCTGCGTGGCTTGTCACTAACAGATACCATAACACAGCCAGTGTCAGTGACATGCGCGACGACCTAAACTAGCCCAGCCTCGCTGATAGGCATAAGGATGCCTGCCTTACCATGATATTTAAAATAATTTCTAAAACTGTAGCCATCACAAAAGGAAAATGCCTGACAAAACAGTTGCGACAGACACGAAACTCTCAATCTTTCTCCTATAACATTCCACATTGTAGAACAGAATGCCGCAAATACTCTTTTTTTTTCCAGAACTATCCCAGACTGGCACAATCTTCCACCAGACCTGGTCTCATCTGAAACTTTGGAAACCTTTAAAAGTCTTCTCTCCTCTCTACACAATTAATTCTGTTCTAACTCTCTTTTCCTGTACATTAACACAACACAAACATCGACATGATCTTCAATATGATGAAGTAGGTCGATTATCAGGTAGAAGCACTCCACAGAGACCAAAATGGCTAGTTTAATGCGGTATATATATTTGTATTGAATACAAATTAATACTGCAAATGTATTTGCAGTATTGATATACCTGGTATGTATAATCTATAAATGGAAAAAAACAACTATTAGCTAAAAACTGTATTATTTTCATAAATACGAACAAAACTTTGTCAACAAAGTAACTGATATCGAACAGCTGTCATGGGTTTTACGCACTGTTACTATGATCCCTATCTAAGGAGAGGAAACTCCAATGTATAATAAAAAAACCTCTATACAGTAAAAGAATGTCCTATTGGTAATTTAAACTGTCAAACAATGTCTATAGTACGTTGGGTGATTGAGGACATCTAAATAATTATTTTTATCTCATTATAACGACTTAACATCAGATGGGATCAGGTGCCTCAGTGTTAGTAATGTTAGAGGCTTTACCCTTGAACACTGATGTGGCTGGTGCAAAGATATAAAGACATGCATGTCTTATATATAAGAAAGATTCTCCTATATACAAGAATGCTTGTGTATATAATAATAATATAATGTATATATTGTATAATATATATTATATTGTATATATAAGAGAATGCTTGCTTCTCTATTGGAAAAAATAAATAGTATAAGAAAAAGTGACACATTATTACAAGAAACAATCTTGTACATACATGAAAGATTCTTGTTATAATGAAAGAGAAAGGGTCTTGTTTATGCAAAAATTCAAAAAAAAACTTGTATCTACAAGATTAAAAAAAAATGTATAATTAATTAATTAATGATACCACCCAGGATGATTTTTTTCTGTGTTCCTATTCAACTTCTTTACTATATATGGTATTCAATGAGTAACCATCAGATACCCTCTATGAATTTTAATATTCCTGATAGCATGCATGTCAGTCTGTGATTACCATGTACATTTCATATCCATGTTTTATCAAAAGGATTGCCAGAGCCAAAGGCATATGATGATGCTGCCATACCAGATAAAAACCAGAAAGCAGAAGAGGATCTTGAAGAGGAAGTTAAACCCAAACTGTCCCAGATTAAAGATGCACCAAAACCTCCACCAAAGAGAGCTAAAGTTAGAATCACCATACCAGCTCTTCAGAATGTAAGTAGTTATGTTGCAACTGTTGCCAGTGATTTAAATCCTGATAAATGTTTTTGAAGTTGACAATTTAATGACGCAACAAGTGACATAACGGCAGCATACAAAGATACTTAACATATTTGATACATGTCTCTTGCATCAATACATAAGTAGAGTTTTGAAAATATATAATGTATGTGAAATGCATCTTTTAAGAGGAAATTGCTTAAAATCTGTTTTTGAATTTAGTTTGAATTAATATCTCTTAAATTTTCTGTGGAATTAATTAACAGTTATTTTTTGTGTCCTATAAAACAGGATTCTGACGAGGAAAAACAGGTCACAAAGAAGCCCAAGCTGTCCTCAAATGTAAGAATTCCAGAAGGAAGCTTTGTATGTGACAGAAAATATTGGTATTTGAAAATTACCGAAGACATGAATGTTGTTAACTACCAGTTATATTGTATATTTATTTCATTTGTTTGTTTAGTTAACAGTCAATCAACAAACAAGGCCAGATACAATTAATTTTTGGTTTTTCAGGCCTAAATTTTGAAAAGTTAGTGCAGCAGACTGACATTTTGTCAAAAAAAATGTTCTCAAAAATATAATGTGAAACATACTTTCTTTTACATTTGCATTTCTATTCTGGTTCCGTATATTCCACTGAGTCCGAGACAAGAGTTCTCTTTATCCCACTCCTAATTTGAAGGCTTGCATTGGTCCCTCTATAGTACATATGTTCCATGGCATCTTTTTTGTTTTTGTTCAATTACTTCTTATTTGAACTCATAACAGCAACCTTTTGGTTCTAAAATTTATCTCCGAAACAAAAGACCAACTTCTGGATATAATAGAATATAAATTAAACTAAATTCAAGTTTTCACATGCTATTTATGTTCCTATTTTTGGTTATTTTGGTGATCAAATTTGATATTTTAATGCAAACAGAAAAACATACATGCAGTAGTGTGGGAGAAACTGAACATTAATTGTATTTGGCCTAAGGCCACACAAGTCCACAGAATAAAAAAGGGTAGGAGTACAAAGAGAGACACAGTGAAATGGTAAAAGATGTATACTGTACCAGTAACAGGCCCAGCCGATCTGTTTTGTTTTCCTTAATGTCTAGATCTCTAAGCATATAACAAAATGGAAATCTCCGAATCTGATGGGACTGTATATGAGTCACCTCATTCAATAAGTTAGTGGAATATAGGGTCAACTTGTGGAAGATCAATAAGTATCATATATATCTGTACAAATTACTTAAATACAAGTTTAAAAAGAGATTTTCATTTGACACTTTTCAATTGGGTTGCATGGCCCTTTGAATCAATTATGTTAATAATGAATGAAAAAGTATTATAAATGTCATTATATTTTGATCACTGAAGAATTTTATCTCAAATGTTATAACTTCCAAATTTTGAAATGTCACTATTTTTTTTCCTAATTTAAAAGGCACATGTGCCTTCAAAACAAACAAAACAAGCACTGGCCGTTTGTTATGTTGATATTCGTTTTACCTTTCTACTTGTATTTGTACAGGTAAAATCTGGTCTCACCGCCTTACTACCAGCTCCGGTCCACGCAGCCACCAAGGAGACAAACAGAATCCTTTTACCTTACACCCTTAAAAAGCCTCAGGAAAAAAAGAAACCGGAACCATCAAAAACAGATAAAGTGACATCCAACCCTCATCCTAAATTCCAAGGTTTGCCAAGTTATGAAAGTGACAGTGATGGTGACGAAGCTGATTCAGAAGCCACCAATTTTTTTTCATTGGGTGGTTCAGAAACTTTGGCTGCAGGACCAGTGCTACCTGAACCCTTTCCTATGCAAAAAACTAGTAAATTGTCTCTGCCTCCGCCAAAGATGTCGCAGACAGACAACAGTGAAACCATTGATCTTAAAAGTGCTAGTGATACTACTGGAAGTGAAGTGACTTCTATGGCTAGTGAAGATTTAGTTGATACAGAACAGCCTAATATGGCATCAGCAGCAGCAGCCTCATCAATGTTTGGTCAGGACGAACCACTGTCTTTTAAATCTGGCAATTGGAATACTATGTCAGCACCCTATCATGTACCTTATGGTGGATATGGATCAGACTCCGAGACATCACCAATGGCAACAGAAATGGCAGGTCCCCAGATGGACTATGTTCAGTATGAGGCTGGCCCACAGGTAATTTATAAAAATGTTTTATGAGAAGAGAATATAAAGTTCCCATTGTTTACCACTGATAATTGACATATTGTTTAATTTGGAATAGACAAGCTAGGCAAGTATGGTATAGTTCTTTATACAGAGATGTTATTCACTCACTAAATACACATCTAATCAGCACAATCAATGTTACTGACCTGGGATTGGATCAGGAATTATATAACTGCTTGTGCAAACTTTTTATACATTTGTGTTTACATGATAATGTTAAAGTCTAGATTGCGAATTGCCTCTAAACGTTTTGCAGAATGGAATACAAGTTCAGTATTATCAAGTAAATATTAGTATATACATGTACCTTACCTGTTTTAACAAAGAAAGTGGATACATTTTTTTTCCTCTACTGTATATACCTATACATGTCTGTGTTTATTTGATTGATTTTGTTATAGCTTAACTATTTATAGTCATGTTCTCTAATAACTTGTCATTTAATTTCCAAACGAAAATATTCAATGCTGCAGTCTCCTTTGAGAAAATGTTGACCTTGTTGCCTAAACATGTTTTTTTATGAGACATCTTATTTTGCAGTATTCCCAGAACTACGAGAAAGATGCAGAGGTATGTTTTTAACTAAATTATCTGTATGCATTGTAATTGAGGGCTGTCACAATTTATTTTAAAACTGATATTCCGTCTTTGCGTATTGCAGAGTTATCATATTGATTGTTACGTCATTGGTTTGTGAGAGTAACGTCATCAATTTTTAAGAAAACGGCGTAATTTTCTCACACAAACCAATGACTTAAACAATCAATACCTGCTCACAAGAGAAGATAACTCTGCAATATGCAAAGACGGAATATATCCATTTGACGTCTCTGCACATGTTGTATAATGAAAATTAGTGTTTCTATCCAGATAGGCATTAGAAATATGTCTTAAGATACTTTGAGTTGATTACTTTGCATATGGCTGTAGCTGAATACTTTTGACATAATGCTGATCTTTATTACTTCAGAAGAACATACCGGTACTTCTGTGTACTTAAAACGGATAATGGCTTGTACTATTTGATACTATGGTCTGTACTGGACACGTGCATGTTGTATGTGTTCACTGCTTATGACTACACCATCCCAATCCATATTAGCAGATGTACTGGTGTGACATACATAAACACATTTTATAATAATGAAATTGTACTTCAAATGAACTATGATTAATGTAGTTTATATACACTGGTAGCCATTGCAAATTTGATTAGAAAAAGAAAGAAACCAGGAAAAATATTTATTAATTCGTAATGTGTAAAAATTATTTTCTTTTCAAGACACAAATATTTTTTGGTTAACATACTTTAAAACCATTTCAATATGAAAAGTGAGCGTAACCCTTGGACATCGAGGATGTTATTATTAAACAGTCGGATTCTTTTATATTTCAATTGGGTTGTGGAAAACAAGTTTTTCCAAAATTAAACATGCATCATGATAATGAAACTTTAGAAAATATAGTAGTAATACAAAGTGTACACGTTATGTTGGTAACATCTTTTTAACAGTGTGTAGACTTTATATGTAGTGTTGGTCAGTTGAAATCAAATGTGCATTAAAGCTTCTCAAATGACAAGAACTTAGTTAGATGTGGCTGTGTTCACTTGTGCGGGAAGAATACATTTTGTACATACAGTGTATCTTTTGTTTCACTTTTACAGTTTTTAAGAATGCAAGGAAAAAAACAGAGAGGAAAAGAAGAGATAAATATTGTAGATGTAAATGCAGATGATTTCATCAGCGCTGTGGACATTCAAAAAGCTATGTCTGAGGAAACAAAGGGAGAATATGCAGCACACAGAAAGAAGGATGGTCCAACATCACAGCAAAAACGCAAACATCACATCACATACTTAGCTCATCAGGTAATTAATGTCATTTATATAAAACATCAAATCACATACTTAGCTCATCAGGTAATTAGTGTCATTTATATAAAATAAAAAAACACTGAATACTATACTTTTGATGATGTTTTGCAATATGTCAGCCTTCATTGCTGGATTTGAGATCATAAATGAGGTTTATAACAATGCAAATACTGATCTAAATTATATTTCTGACACAATATCATTGTTCATCTGGATTAATTTGATGATCATGATCAGCTGCAGCTTGACAGTTATCAGTAACATCAAGTTATTTAAAATGATTTAATTAAGCCATTATCCACACAGATACCCCAAGACACACGTCACTAAGTTCTTTGCTGTATTGATGGGATATAAATGTAGAAATGCTTGACAATGGTTGTGCTATCTGTAATTATCTATCATAAAGGACATTTTATAGGTATCATTGTAAGGTTCTGTCCTTCATTAGTCACAAATTCTTCTATCACAATGCTTCCTTACATGTTTCCAATATTTCATCAATAAAACTTCAGTATTGATAGAGATACATAATACAGAGTCACGAACAGAAGGTTTATAAACACTTCAGTACCAGTCTGTTATGGTTCAGACTGGATTATAATCAATGTAGGTTGGCGTCTGTGGCTGACACTCTGACAGCCTCAGTTCCAGTCTGTTATGGTTCAGACTGGATTATAATCAATGTAGGTTGGCGTCTGTGGCTGACACTGTGACAGCCACACTCCCACAATCAATGTAGAATGTAGGTCTATCATATCAAAACTTTGGTTTACAAAGTTTGCACAAAATCTGCAAAAAATCATTTCCTGGTTCACACTTACGCTTAGCTGAAAACTAATTGTTTTTCAAATAAAAATATGTGTTGGAACTACCTGCCAACTCCATTTGATGACCAGCAGATTACTGATGTTATGATTGGTACTTGTACATTGTTTAACGTTATATTTAAAACATCCTTTTACAGGCCAAGGAGACTGAGCTTGAACTGAAGAACCAGTGGTCGATGAACAGAATGACAAAACGACAAACTCAGGCTAAATATGGCTTCTGATTTTTTTTACCAGTGCAATGTAAACAGACCTTTTTCTGGAGGAAATTTATTCAATATAGATTGATTTTATCTAGTGCCTTCACTTGCAATCAGAGACTATAATTATGCAAGTGAAGTATGCTATCTTACCGGAGCTCAACAAGCATGAAGTAAAAAGACAAGGGAAGTAACTCTACTGCTCTTAACAGCAGCAGTGTCAAGGATGTAGAATTACCAGTTTTTCTTCCTTTAAATATTACATTTTCAGTTGTGAAGTCTGGCGGACCAGTAAATATTATTGCAAGCTCTGAAAGTCTTAGGGACGGCCTTACAAAACATGTCAGGTCAAAATTCTGGTTACATACAGTACATGTTTTATAAAAGACTTGGGTTACAATACATGGTTTTTTTCAAGACTTAGGTTACAAACACGTGTTATTAAATATTTGGCTTATAGTACATGTCCTACAAAGTTTATATTTGATTAAGAACATAAAAAATGTACATGGGCTGTACATGATATACTAGCCCGAGTTTCCTCTGGTCCTTACACCAGACTTGGACATTTTGACATATTGATGTCGGGTGTGGGGCTAGAGCGCACTGCTATATGAAAACATGGAATTCTCTGACACCGTTTAGTATCAGGAAGTGACTTAAACAACATAAAACACCCAATCCCAAAATCTCCTAAACAATAATGATATATTCCATTTTCGGCCCGGATCAGTACGTCTTGTTGATTAGTCACTCCCATGATCTACAAAATGGCGTTCGCTCAGGTGGGAAATTTTGAACGATTGTAAACCGAAGAGTCTACTGACAGAACTTAGCAGCTGTTGGTGATAATAAGAGCGGATTTGGATAAATAAAGAATCCATTTATTGATATTTGTGAGGTATGTTTAGTGTCAGCACCTCAGAACTCTTCGATACCAAGCGACCAAGCAGTGCCGGAGAATTCAACGTTTTCTTATAGAAGTGCCCTCTGGCCCCACACCAGACATCAATATGTCAAAATGTCCAAGTCTTGTGTTATAATCAGGGGCAGAGGAAACTCAGGCAAATGATATACATGGATGTTTTACTACCATTCAGAGTCCTAAATAGTTTCATTTTAAAGTATTAATATATAATGCTTTGTTGAAAAACATTTTGCTAAACTTTCCTTGTAATATTTACTTCATTATAGTGTTTGGTATTGAAAATACAATTGAGTTCTGTGAATTTGTTATTTAAGATCCAGTTTGCATTTACACCTGATTGATGTCAAAGACATATCTTCATGACTGAAAGTCAGTATCACCTTGGATAGTTCTGATTCATTCTCCACAAAGTTTTATAAAAACTTTTGTATCTCGGCATCTCCACATTGTAGCCTTTATTGTGGAAAAAAAAGATGTGTAGACATGCTTAACATATTTCTTGTAAATCGGTTAGGAAAATAAAAATATTTCAATGGTCAGGCCTTGGTTACATTTGAAATTGGCCATACTATGTTTCGTTCATCATAGATAACACTCATGTGATAGATTGTATCTAGTAAACATGAACACCAGTAGCACATGGATTTTCCACAATAAAACGGATCCAATTTTTACCACTTCTGAGAATTAATATAGGATGAGCCAGGTTTTGGTTGTGGATGAAAACTGGGGTAACCTTGAGAAAAAGCACCGACCTGCGGCCAGTGCCTGGTGACTGCCCAACGTAGGCCTCGAACCTTCGACCCAGTGGTGGAGGGCTAGTAATCGTAAACAGTCAGATGCCTTAACCACTTGGCCCCTGCAGTCTCCTTAATTTTCTTGTACTTGGTTGAAAATCATATAGATTAATTAAATTTCTTTTCAATGATACATGAAGAAATATTATGAAAAGATAAATTCTAAAATTTATGTTAGGACGGCTTTTAAAACTAGACATGACCACCAGAAAGCACAATATTTTATTTGTATATGTTGACAAGATACAAGTACATCTATTTTGATTTGTTGATACCATTGAAGGTATCTTACGAAGTAAAGGATATATACTGTATACCGGGAAATTTTCACCCTGTCAAACGTTTGCCCTTCGCCCTTTGAACTCAATTTACGCCCAGTGTTAGTTTCGCCTTTCTCATTCAGTGACTCTGTATGTTATGTTGTTTACTTACACTCGCTGTATTGATAAATTTGCCCTTTTTACGGAGGGAGAAAAAGGCGAAAAATTCAACTGCAGCAAAATTTCCCCGTATACAGTATTTACTGCTAGGACACATCATATAAACAGGAAACTTGATGATAAAAGTTTTGTTTTTGTATAATTATTCTCATGGTTTTAACGTTAAGGAATGATAACTTATACTAGAAAATACTAGAGATAAAATATAAAAGTATTCTATGGTATGTTGTAAACACTGCCACCTTTGGAATGTTTATTTATAAAACATATAACTTTATATTGGAAGTGTGTCAAGTGTTAATGATTTTTAAATGTAACATACATGTAGTAAGTCTATTTGATATTTTATACTGGAGTACAACCAGCTAGTGGTTTAGTTTCACTTTGTCACTGCAGCGTTGATGAATGTTTCACAAGTATTATGTTGATTTTCTGGTATTGCCTGGGATTCAGTTTGTATATGAGGGTACATTTCCTGAATATAGAGCTTTAAATTGCTTTTAAATTTAAATATTTGTAATACACTCTAAACATCTGTGATGTAAGTCTTTAATACAGGTTAATTAATTCCAGTATGCTTTCTGTTAAATACTTTGCCCTGAAGTTAGGAATTTACCCGGTATGAATATATGGGATGGAAGAAAGGGACAGTCACAGGTAGGGTGAAACTAATAATTGAAATTTGCGGGAGGGCTAAAATAATTACTGACATTTGTATAATGGGCCCAGAAAACTATTGGAGACATTAACAAAAAGTGGCCCTATCCCCACCCACTCCACCCTATACATTTATACCTGGAACAGACTTATATTTATTCAGATTCAGCTCATAAAGATACATGTTACTTACATCATATTTGTACTAAACTTACTGTACTAGAAACCTGCCTATTAAAAAGTCTTGACCAAAATATTAATGAGTGGTTTTCTTTTTACCCTACTATCTTTAAAAGTAATGAGATTTTAGCCCACCATCATCACACCTGTTGGCTGTTCAAATTGCTCTTCCTCCTTGGTCAGGACGTCCTTAAACAATTATTGTTAGCGCTTAATTCTCATTAGTACTGAAGGGATCTTTCTCCAATTTCACAAGTAGGTTCCAAAGGGTCTGTAGATGTGTATATCACATTTTTGGACTGATCAGAAGGTGGCCATCTTTAATTACTGACCAATTATCATTATCCTAGGTCTCTTGGTTATTCAGAAGAAGTTGTTTAAAGGTTTCAAACATATTTGACTCATGTGACCTTGAATATACGTCAAGGTGATTTATTTGAACAAACTTGGTAGCCCTTTATCCCAGCAAGTTACTGGTCAAATATCATCACCATAGGCCTCTTGGTTATTCAGAAGAAGTTGTTTAAAGGTTTAACCATATTTGTCCCCTGTGACCTTGATTATTTGTCAAGGTCATTTATTTGAACAAACTTGGTAGCCCTTCATCCCAGCATGTTACTGGCCAAATATCATCACCCTAGCCCTCTTGGTTATTCAGAAGAAGTTGTTTGAAGATTTTAAACATATTTGACCCTTGTGACCTTGAAAATGGATGAAGGTCATTTATTTGAACAAACTTGATAGTCCTTCATCCCAGCATGCTACAGGCCAAATATCGGTAGCCTGGGACTGTTGGTTACTGAGAAGAAGTCGTTTGAAGATTTTAAGACATTTGATCCCTGTGACCTTGAAAGTGGGTCAAGGTCATTCATTTGGACAAACTTGGCAGTCCTTCATCCTAGCATGCTCCAGGCCCAATATCAGTACCCTGGGCCTTTTTGTTATTGAGAAGAGGTAGTTTTGAAGATTTTACGACATTTGACCCCAGTGACCTTGAAAGTGGGTCAAGGTCATTCATTTGAATAAACTTGGTAGCCCTTTATCCCAGCATAATACAGGCCCAATATCAGTACCCTGGGGCTTTTGGTTATTGAGAAGAAGTCGTTTGAAGATTTTAAGACATTTGACCCCTGTGACCTTGAAAGTGGGTCAAGGTCATTCATTTGAAACATTTGGTAGCCCTTCATCCCAGTATGCTACAGGCCCAATATCAGTACCCTGGGGCTTTTGGTTATTGAGAAGAAGTTGTTTGAAGATTTTAAGACATTTGGCCCCTGTGACCTTGAAAGTGGGTCAAGGTCATTCATTTGAA